TTTGACAATGAATATCTCTGGGGTATTGGGGCCGAGAACAGTAAGAAAAATGAGGGAAAAAATACACAGATTTTATTCTGAAACATATAAATCAGAACAGAGAACCAGGGACTTCCCTGATGGCGCAGTGGTTAGGAATCTGCCTGCCCTGCCAATGCAGGGGACACGGGTTCAAGCCCTGGTCTGGGAAGATCCCGCATGCCACAGAGCAACTGAGCCTGTGTACCACAACTGTTGAGCCCACGTGCTGCAACTACTGAAGCCCATGTGCTTAGAGCCCGTGCTCCGCAACAAGAGAAGCCACCGCAATGAGAAGCCTGCACACCACAACGAAGAGTAGCCCCTGCTCGCCGCAACTAGAGAAAGCCGGCACGTAGCAACAAAGACCCGACACAGCCAAAAATATAAATAAATAAACAACAGAGAACCACAGAATTTTTCAATGCCACAAAAACTTAGATTAATTTTCCCAACCAAGCAATTCGCAAAGACACTACTATTCAGGAGGATCACCTGGTCTGTCCAAGGCCACAGAGCTTATTAGAGCCCAGACTAGAACCCCTGGCTCTTGGCTGTCATGTCACCACTCTCCACACTTAACACTATTCAGTCTCTTCCTAAAGTTAGAAAATTGGTCAAATGAAAGTACATATGAAGCACTAACATGGAGTGGGAACTCATTCTCACCATGTGCGTAATAATTGTTAGCTCTTTTTTTCTCTTCCTGACCTGCAGGAGTCTGAGGTTGGAGTATTCATTGTGTCTGATGCAGTTCCTAATTTTCTATATTCTCTCTCCTTTCTTTTACTTCATACTTAGGGTGCTCGAGGGAAGAGTGGAGAATACTGCCTATGCTATTGTGAAGTCACTATTAAGGTTTAGTATTAGGGAGCCTGACAACTCATGTGCCATAAGACAGACTTGGGGATTAAACTGATCATCACTTTGTCCTTTGGCTTTAGTCAGTAATATAGAACCATCCCCCATTTCAACTCTTCTTAGAGAAAACATTTCACACACTGACCTAAAGATAGCTGGACAGTTCTGATGATCTACATCAGGGATCAGCAAAAAGAGGTATTTAAAAAATATGTAGGGGGCTTCAGTGGTTGGGAGTCCGCCTGCCGATGCAGGGGACATGGGTTCTTGCCCCGGTCCGGGAAGATCCCACATGCTGCGGAGCGGCTGGGCCCCTGAGCCACGGCTGCTGAGCCTGCGTGTCCGGAGCCTGTGCTCCGCAACGGGCGAGGCCACAACAGTGAGAGGCCCGCTTTCCGCAAAACAAAAAAGAAAAAAGTAGGGACTTCCCTTCTGGCACAGTGGTTGGGAGTCTGCCTGCCAGTGCGGGGGACACGGGTTCGGGGCCTGGTCCCGGGGGATCCGACGTGCCACGGAGCGGCCATGCCCATGCGCCACAACTACTGAGCCCGCATGCCTGGAGCCCGTGCTCTGCAACAGGACACCGCAGTGAGAGGCCCGCGCACTTCGGCGAGGAGTGGCCCCCCGCTTGCCGCAGTTAGAGAGGGCCCACGCATAGCAACGAAGACCCAAGGCAGCCAAAAATAAATAAATAAAAAATAAATCAATTTATAAAAAAATAAGTATCTAAAAAAAGCATACCGGGCTTCCCTGGTGGCGCAGTTGTTGAGAGTCCGCCTGCCGATGCAGGGGACACGGGTTCGTGCCCCGGTCCGGGAAGATCCCACATGCCGCGGAGCGGCTGGGCCCGTGAGCCATGGCCGCTGAGCCTGCGCGTCCGGAGCCTGTGCTCCGCAACGGGAGAGGCCACAACAGTGAGAGGCCCGCGTACTGCAAAAAAAAAAAATAAATAAAAAAAAATAAAAAAAATAAAAAATAAAATAAAATTTAAAAAGCATACCAACAACGCTTTTAGAAAGCAATTTATCTCAGCCATAAAAAAGAATGAAATAATGCCATTTGCAGCAACATGGATGGACCTAGAGATTATCATACTGAGTGAAGTAAGTTAGAGAAAGATATCATATAATATCACTTATATGTGGAATCTAAAAAAATGATACAAATGAATTTATTTACAAAACAGAAACAGATTCCCAGGCTTAGAAAACAAACTTATGGTTACCAAAGGGGAAAGAGTTGGGGGAGGGATAAATTAGGAGGTTGGGATTAACATATACACACTTCTATATATAAAATAGATAAATCAACAAGGACTTACTGTGTACCACAGGGGACTATACTCAATATCTTGTAATAACCTATAATGGAAAATAATCTGAAAAAGATTAGATATATCTATATGTATAACTGAATCACTTTGCTGTACACCTGAAACTAACACAACATTGTAAATCAACTATATTCCAGTATAAAATTTAAAAAAAATTTTAAAGCACCAAAACCAAATAAAGTTCAATAGGATCCCCCTAAAAAATAAATAAAAATAAAAGCTACCCACACAAAAAAGTGATTTATCAGTATCTGTAAGTGACGTTTGTAGTACATGCCAGTGTCCATCTCAGAGTTATGTCTAATAATAAAATTCTATATTGGAGGGAATTCCCTGGCAGTCCAGTGGTTAGGACTCTGCATTTCCATTGCAGGGAGCATGGATTTGATCCTTGGTTGGGGAACTAAGATCTTGCAAGCCGCGTGGTGCAGCCCCCCCCAACAAAAAGGGGAAGATGAAATTTGGTAATTTATCACCTCCAGGGTGAGAAGGGTGAGAGGCATTGAACTAGGCAGACATGAGCCTTCACTTCACAGGCAACATGGAGACATCATGGTTAGGACTTGGTGCTCCTTGGGGCTGGGTTCAATCCCTGGTTGGGGAACTAATATCTTGCAAGCTGAGCGGTGCGGCCAAAAAAAAAAAATTCTATATTGGATTCAACTTAAAAATCAGCAGTAAGATTATAGTAATAAATGCATTTTAAAATAAAAATTATTATACAAAGATATTATTGTGCAAAATAAGTTGTTATACAACCCTGAAACATGAGAGGGAAAAAAAAGCTTACACTGAAGCTTTGTGGAGAGTCATGGCTGTACTTACCTGTGCTAAACTCCGTGGGCCGGGGTGCCCACATATCCTCAAGTTTTCACAGCCTCCATGTACCTGGATTCAGGTTGGAAGACTTCCAAATTTTAGATAAAGAGCAGGCCTTCTTTTTTTCGCCAGTTTGTGGGACCTTAGTTCCCCGACCAGGGATCGAACCTGGGTCCACAGCAGTGAAAGTGCCAAGTCCTGACCACTGGACTGCCAGGGAATTCCCATGGAGCAGGGCTTCTTAAATAGCTTCTGACCCAGGGCATCTTCTCAGGATGCCATGGGAGTCAATTCCCCACACACTCCTCTTTCTTGGGACGGCATCCTTACCTGATCCCAGCCCCCTACTCACAAGCCAATAGTTTTCTGTGGCATTAACATAAGAGCTCCTTTATGGGCTGACTTCTGAGACTAAAGCAGTCAAAGCCTTAGTGCCTGCTGAGGCAATGGCCATGGTGCAGGTGGCCTCCATCTGCAAGGGCAGAATGAGAAATAGGAATCAGGTGACCTGCCCTCTAGTTCTCATCCCAGAGAAGGGAACTCTGCTCTCAGCCCCAGCCACTCCCTCTGTCTCACTATACCATGCTTTCTCCAGTGCAGTCTGGGTCCAGGGCTTCCCAGGGAGAAAGGGGAGTCCTTGGCAGGAGGCCAGAGGAGCGAGAAGTTTGGGACCTTCCCAGTGAGCGGGAACTAGCGTGTGTTGAGAGCTTTTACAACGTGTCACGCACCACGTGAAGCCCTTCACCTACATTACTGCTTCTCGTTCCCAAAACAGAGAGGAGATGAATATTATCATCCCCATTTTTCGGGTTCATAGACTTTTGCAGAGTTCCAAGACTACATAGCAGCCAGGATTTGAATCCAGCACAGACCAACTGCAGATCCCAAGATTTTCTTTCTGAGGCAGAGCAGCTCCAGGAGTGGAGGCAGCTGGAGTGTCCTGGAACAAGTGGGACCGGGAGCAGGGGATGCAGCTGAGGCTCCCATCTCTCCAGGGTCTGTCAGCCAGAGCCCTAAACCCTTCGACTAACTCCCCCTCTAACCAATCCCAACAGAAGCCTGAGTAATACCTCCCACCCAGAATCTGCGGGGAACCTGGCCCTATTTAGGGATTAGGTGATGGAGATAAATTTCAAAAGCAAACGTCCCCCGTCGTCCCAATTCATTTGCAGCACACAACAATCCAGATTAAGGTACAGAGTTTGGGTTTTATTTGGAGATTAGTTGGTATTACAGATGACAGTGATATCAAAACCCAATGCTGCCACACGCACCACACCCACCCCATCCCGAATCTGTCAGGTTGTCTCTGCAGCCCCAGGTCAGAGGGCAGCCAATCTGATATTTGTGAAAATTAAATAAACGTAAGCCCTGCTTTCCTATTTCTACTTTATTACTTTAATATCACTCCCTCTTCAGATCCATGGTTGTGATTAATTCATCCAGGTGGCAGGAGGACAGGAGAGGGGGCCCTGAACTGTAAAAGGATTGATCCCTGCAGAGTCTAAAATTAGGATCGGCACTCTCCTAGCTCACTTGACAGTCAGTTAGGTCGTGGCCTGAAGGGCCCTTGGGTGAGGGGCAGCTGCCCATTCTCCTTTAGAGGGAGGACATGTTGCCAGCTGGCATGAGAAGAACTGGGGACCAGGCCTGGCAGGAGAAGTGGGAAACATGGGCTCCTACCTCATCCCTCTGCAGGCACCTCCTGCCAAGATGATGGGCAGGTGTCCCTGGAGGGGCAGGGTGCTGGGTAGCAGAAGCCAGGCCCTTGTCACTCCATAGCACCCGCATCTAGGCTGGCCTGGAGGACAGTGGAAGAGAGGGATCCCTGGGCTAAACTTTCTTCCCATAAGAGAACTCCCTTGTGTAAAAGGAGAGGGCAGGGGATCCACTTCTGGTGTGTTCAGTCTTAAGGGGCAGGATGGGCTACAGGAGCCAGAGGGAGGGACTTACAAGTTCTAGACCTAGATTAGGAGTGGTCCAGGTTGGTGACAATTGCCGAGGCATAGATGAGGTCAGACAGGCTGCCCAGTGAGGTCTGGGGAGCAGCTCGCTCTGAAGAGACGTGGACCCCTGAAGCCCCAGCCGGTCCCCATGGGGCCGTAGCTTTAGCCCCTACCCAGCCCTGCCCTGAACCCAAGCCAGGAGCTGGACAGGAGGCATGTCGACACACAGAGGCACACTGAGCTGTGCTGTTGGAGGGTGGAGGCTGGCCAAGGGTGCGGGGCTCCCAGGACTGCTGGATGGTGTCCGGAAGAGAAGGGGATCTCTGGGGAGGCTCGGGCCTGGGACTTAGGCCTCCTGGCTTCCTATTCTTGATTCTCTTGGCTCTGCGGTTCTGGAACCACACCTGGTAAGGAAAGAAGGAGTCTCTTCTGGTGCCAGCATCCCCTCCCCCCAGGTACAGGGAAAGCAGAACCTGGAGGCAGGATATCCAGAGAGAAGGGACTGTGAGTCAAGCTTAGAAATCTGCTGTGTGAGAGCACCCCGACCCTGAGGTGGGGGGGGGGGCACAGCTCACCTGTATCTTGGCCTCAGGAAGGCAGGTGACCCGGGCCAGGTGCTCACGGGTGCCGATGTCGGGGTAAGGCCGTGCTGCAAACACCCGCTCCAACTCCAGCAGCTGCCCTCTGCTGAAGGTAGTCCTCTTTCTCCGGTGGGGACCCAACCCACTGGCATGGCCTGCAGGCCAGGATGGGGGCCAAGTCAGGACTCCTTGCAAGAGCCTCCACTGCAGCATCAAAGCCAACAGACCCTGAAGCCCCTACTCCCCACCCCTCTTCAACCTTCCCCGTCATACCTTTCCCACATCCTCGCCCTGCCCACCCTTTCCCCACCAGATCACCTGCAGGGGACGCGTCCACTGGACTGGCCATGGGGCCGGCACAGTTAGGAGCCCGATGGCCATGCCAAGGCTGTGCCCACACCGCTCCCCTCCACGTGGAGTTTTATCCTGCTCAGAAGGCTGGCCCCGCCTCCAGGAGGCGGGAGGTTTAGCGTCCAGCTCGAGGAGGGCTGAGAAACCCCGGAGGAAAAGGGGGCTTGCGGGGGTATGGGTGGGGCAACCCTGTTCCTCTGGGGCTTCACAAAAGAAGCTGGCCCCAGCCCCCCTCCTCAAAGCTCAAACTCTGGCAGTCTGTGTGTGAAGTCCTGTACTTTGTGAAAATCCTCCCAGGGCTCCATCCAGGAAGCCAACGAGATCCCTCTCTAGATGCTCCTCCTGGGGCTCTGGTGCTGGCTGCCTTGGAGGACAGTGGGTGGGGTCCTAGCCCCCAACTGAGGAGGGGGCTGGGGAGGCTGGACAGGATGAGAAGCTGGACAGCAGATGAGCGGCAGCCACCCTCCCCTCAGCAGGGCTGGGAGCAGATGTCGCCACTAGATCACCCTCAGTTCTGCTTCAGAGCTTTGCATGCACCTAGCCCTTTGTCCCTGGCCCTTCAAGAGCCCAGATGGACTTCCTACAGTCCAGGAACTTGGAACCAGAGGAGGCTCCACAAGTACATTTGAGGGGTTTTGAGAAAGATGTTTGTTTTTACAGTGTACTCATCATTTGGAAGTCTTCTGGGCCACTTTTCTAAGAGAAATAGGTGCATTTGAATTTCCTTTCAGTTCCTGCCCTTCCTGTCTCTCCTGCCTCAGTGCTCTGCACCCCAGACCCAAGACAGAGACCTCAAAGGCCCATTATCATAGGGATAGGTTTGGGGGAGCACAGTGACCGCTTCCCCAGGGATCCAAGGGTCTGAGCTAACAGCATTTCAGGTCCAGGATGGGCAGAAAAGCTGAGCTGGAACCCACCACCTCCTGCCCCCCTGCCCCTTCCAAGACCATAGTCAATGACAAGGGGCAAAACAAACCCAGGGCTGGGTGGGGTAGCTTGGTGACTCCTGTCATCCTTAGAGGGGTCCAAGCTCCTGCTTAGCTGCTGGTGGGTTGCTGGGGGCTGCTCCGTGTGCGAGGAAGGCCTGCTCTCATGAGGCTCTCCCAACCCACAGCTTTTCTGTCTCATGGAGAGGGCCTGAGCCCAACACAGGGTGGACACAAAGAAGGATCTTCTCTGTCCCCTCCCCCAAGTCACCCCGACTGCCCAAGGTCCCCTCCTTTACCCAGGCAGATCCCTGCCTCCTGCCTGTCCACCCCAGTCAGGACAGTAGTCTTAAACTCAGGGCCAAGGGATCTTTATTGAGCTGGGAGGAGGATGTTGGAGGAGGGAGCAGCAGAGGCCCAGCTGTTTGGAGTCGGACTCCTACTCGTGGGCAGGGACTGGGCAGCCCAGCCAGTACTGGGCGATGGAGCGTGGGTAGGGAGGGATCACATCATCCACTCGCCGCGTGCGAAGGTTCACTCGGTAGTACTTGTCTGGAAGAGAGGTTGGGAGAGGGTGCATGAGCCCCTGCCTGGCCCTGCCCATCCTGCCCTGAGAAGACCTGAGTCTCTCCTGGAAGGGTAAGTGAACATCCGCAACGCACCAGAGGACTCCCGGCCTGGCATTTTGGAGTCACCACTCAAGGGCTGTGTTCAGCCCATGGGGACCAGGGACAGCAGGGATGACCCGGCTAGACCAGCTACAGGGCTGGCGAGTGCTCCCACCTCCTGAGAAGAAGTAGACGCTCTGGGTGGGCTCACAGCTGGCAGGCACAAGCCAGTCCATCTCGTAGTTATCATAGTTATAGTCTCCCAGGCCCATCTCCTCACTGGAGAACCAGGACAGCCAGGTGGAGCGAGATTGCCGGTAGGGGTTCTGGCTGCGTCTGCGGCCGCGGCCACGGCCACGGCGTGAGCGGTAGCGTTTACGATTGCGACGCACAGACTTGGTCATCTTGGTCCGAGAGGAGCGGGGAGCTGAGCCTGAGATGTAGATGCGGCCAGCCATGGCCGCATCCACTTGTCCAGGCAAACCAAGCCAGTCCCGGCTGATGAACCTGGGCTTTCCAGCACCACCTGTGGCAAGAAAGTGGTTAATGGGGAGCCCTGGAGGTCAAGGATGGGCTATGCCTTGTCCAAGGACACACAGCAAGTTAATGGCAGAGCCCAGCATCCCAGCCTTCCGACTACCTGTTCAATACGCTTTCCCCTGGCCTCCCTCCACCATATCCCTCCCCGGTTGCCTCAGCTACAGCTCCTCCTTCTGCTGGCTGTGCCCTTGGCTGTGCTAGGCAAAGTCCAAGGTGTGGGGTCCGGGTGGAGGCAAGCCTCCCCTACAAAGGTCAACAGAAGCAAAGTCTGGCCTGAGCAAACAGCTTTTGACCGATAGATGCACAGTCACAGCCCCTCAGGCCAGCTCAGCCCTACCTCTACCCTGGGGGATCCCAGCCCTCTGGATGGGGAAGGAAGACTTGCCCTCCCTCTGTACCAGAGGAACTGCCCCAGAAGAGAAGTCTGAAGATGTCCTCCCAGCTGTCCCGCTGCATCAGAGCAAAGTGTTCAAACACGGCCGACTGGGAGCTGCCTTCGCACTCCTCTTGGCTGGGCTGCTGCTGGAACTCGTACTCCCAGTACAGTTTCCCTGGGGAAGGGTGGCCATGAGCAAGGCTGGAAAGCCCAGAGGCTGCGGAAGTTAGGAGCTCCTGGCAAGGGGGTTGGGGATAATCTGAGGCCTGTCGCCAGTGAAGTTTAAAGACCAAGACTGCTGCAGCGCGTGCGCACCCTCCCTCCCACCTCCCGAGTACCCTTGAAGAAATAGACCCGCTCCCGGCCACTGTAGCTATGAGCGGGGAGGGCCAAGGCTGCGTCCACGTTGTCCGGAATGCCCCTGAAGCCTTCAGAGATGTTGCGGGGGAAATCGGGGTCCAGGACACCATCCTCAAAGCGCCAGTACTGACTACCCTAAGGGGTCGGGAAGGAGAAGACGGTGAGGAGGCGGTTGGCTGTGCGCAGAGGCAGAGTCCCCGCCCAAGGCGGCAGCCCCAGTTCCAGGCTTGTCACCCAGGACCTGGAGCCTTGGGCTTCTGTGTCCTCACAGAGCCCCAGCCAGGGACCACAAGCCAGAATCCAGCCTTCTTGCCTACTTTGATCCTGGGCACAGCAGCCCTCAACCTCTGCCTAGATACGCTCGGCCCTGACCCACAGCCCCTGGGCCTGGCACCTTGAAGAGGTAGGTCTTCCCCTGACAGTTGATGCGGGTGAAGGCAGCATCAATGGGACCCTCGATGCCCCAGACATCGCGGATGAGCTTGGGGTACCCAGGCCTCACTGCCTTTTCATCCAGCTCATAGCAGTAGAGCCCTAGAGGGAGGGAGGCTGTGTGAGGGAGGATGCTCCCGGGGCAGACCCCTACCCCCATAACCTGCCCCTTGAGTCACCTCGGAAGGCAAAGAGGGAACCATTCTTGAGGTCGGTGAAGGCATCGAAGGGCTTCCCACTGCACTGCTTTTCCTCTGCTGGGGACTCAGAGATCCCTAGGATACTGGTCTCGGGCGTGACGGGCCCCACTTCAGGCTCTGAGTTCCCCTGCCCAGGTCCTGGGGCTTCTTCCTCAGGGTTCAGAACAGGTGCCTGCTCAGTAGTCTCTTCAGGCTGGGCCTGCGGGACAAAGGTCTGGGTGGGGCTCTCTGGCTGTGCCTGGATGCTGGTATTGGATCTGGTCTCCTCGCGGTAGTCGTGGAAGCTGTACTCGTCTTCTGGCAGAGTGAATACATCCCCACGAGTCACTGCAGGCAGGGAGGGTGGTAATGAGTCTCCAGCTGCCGAGGGGACCCCAGGCCCGCCCAGCCACTCTGAACGCACCTTGGGGCTTGCACTCGACCACATAGTCGGAGCAGCAGCTCTGGTAGTAAGAGCAGAGCTCGTCACACTGACACTTCCTGTCGGAGTTGAAGCCCTCAGTGCAGCGGCCCTTGCACGACTCTGTGGGGAGGGGGTATCAGTTGGCACGGCCAAGCCCAGACCACCCTTGCCCACCCTACATTGACCCAAACGGCCACCAACACCCTCCGGCACCTTGGTCAGCCAGAACAACCCACGCCAGCAGGGCCAGCATCAGAAGGGGCCTTGGGGATGCCATGGCAGGGCCTCCAGCCTCGAGCCTGGTGAGGTAGGTTCTCTGCGGTCTCTGCTCTGATGCCTGAGGAAGGGAGGGAGTGGCAAGACGAGGAGGAGGGGAACCAGAGAAGAGGAGCTGCCTTTTCTACTGCTCTGTTTGCTCAACCCCCAGCCCAGCCCCCAGTGCCCCGACCCCAGAGGCTGTTGCAGCAGAGGGTCATGTTCCTGGAACTCTGGGCCTGGGAGAGCTGTGAACAGGATCCTTACCAAGCTCAGGGGCATCTCTGAAGTGCACTAGCACAGTGAATCTGGAGGGCAGAAAGAAGTCCCACTCTGCCGCTCACGGGCTGTGGGACCTTGGCGCAAACTGCTTTACCTGCCTTAGTTCTTTTTTTTGGCAAAATGAGACTAATCATACTCGCCTCACAGGGTGTTGGGAGCTAAAGCAGACAAAATGCCCAACTCCTGGAGTAGCTCCAACTTCATTCTCCATTAGTGGTTATTGACCTGTGATCTGTTTGATCAGGCACATCCCTGGCTGGGTGGTTCACCCACCCCTTGTGTACTTAGGGCAGTGAAAGAGGGGGTAGGAGCTGGGGATATTTTTTTTATCATAAAAGAACAAAGTTTCATTTCTGGGTTCATCTCCAGGGTGCATTGATGTCCCCAAGCTGGTCTTCACAGCGCGGTAAGTTGGGTGAATATTAACCCTTTGGACTGGATGTGATTCCTGAGTCTTCCGATAATTTACTGCTGCTCAGCAGGCCACTCCCTGTCCCCACCCTCATCCTCCCCCATCGGAAACAAGTGGCCCAGTTCCCCACACTTTTAGGCTCCAGTGAGAAATAAGATCCCTCTACCTAGAAAATGCTCACTGGCACACAGCGCCTGATTTTGTGCCCACTTTCAGGGGTTCACATACCTCTGGAAGTCCTCCCACCACCTGGAGGGAGTGATCCTCAGAGATTCCGATGCTTTTTTTCTCTTCTATAATCAGAGGGGAGTGTGACTGTGGAGAAACTTCTCCATGGACCTCAGTCGGTTCAGCTGTTAAATGGGAGCAGTAATTGCTACCTCGTAGGCATGATGTAAGACTTACTTGAGAAACAGGCATAAAGTGTCTCAAGACACTATGAAAGGCATATTCGACCGTGTTGCCCTCACATCCCAGTGTCCCCAACGTAAAACCGAAGCAGTCCTTCCGCTTCCCACCTCCTTCCCCTGCAACCAGTAGAGGGGGCAGGGGACGTGACTAGGGGGAGAGGCCTGGCCAGCGTGTGGGCGTAGCTGGAGAAGACTTGGGGGTGGGGCTACGCAGGCGGCAAGGGAGGAGCCCCGCGAGACCGAGAGGCGGGGCGTCGGCTCCCTGACCACAGCTTCTCAGGGGCGGGGCTGCTGCAGAGCATCTCCGCGATCCTAGGCGACACTG